TGTATGGTCTCCTCTCCAGCATGAGGCCCAACAGCTGCATCTTGGAGGCTGTCAGCTGAGAAGGGGAGAAGCTCAGGCCTTGAAAGCTGATCCCTCGTTGCTCCCCTAGGCCCAGATTTCACCACCCATGGCTGTGCAGCATTGTGGGGTGCTCTAGGGTTGCCTGCCTTCCCTTGCCCTGCTGTACTGGGACACCAGTTGCTATTGGGTTACTTGCTGCTGTCAGGACTTCACTGTGTCATAGTTTAACTGGCAGCTCGGACCATGCAGCCATTTGGTCACTTCCCCAAACCCAGCAGGGTAGGGAGAAGGGGGAGAAGAAGGAGAAAAAAACCTCATGGGTTGAGATAAAGACAGTTTAGTAGCACAGTACAGGAAGAGAAAATAATAATAATAATGGTAAAAGAATAAAAAAAGTAAGTAAGTGTTGCAATAGGATTGCTCTCACCACCCAGTGATCGATTGCCCAGCCCATCCTGAGCAGCAATTGTGGATCCCTGCCCCTGGCCAGCCCCTATTTATACATTGAGCATGGCATCTCTGGTATGGCATATCCCTTTGGCCAACTTGTCCTGGCTGTGCTCCCTCCCAGCCTCTGTGAGAAGCTGAAAAAGTCCTTGACTTAATTTAAAAATATAAAAATTACTTAGCAACAACTGAACTAGTACATGTTATCAACATTATTCTCATACTAAATCCCAAACACTGTAGCTCTTAGGAAGAAAATTAACTCTCTCCCAGCTGAAACCAGGACGCGTTGCTGCCCTGCAAACCCTGTGCTATATTTCTTGTCTCTCAGGAAACTGGGCGATGGGCTGTTCCTGCAGTGCTGTGAAGAAGTGGCAGAGCTCTACCCCAAGATCAAGTTTGACACCATGATCATCGACAACTGCTGCATGCAGGTGAGGATCCCGCTCCCCTGCCCCAGAGCCACAGAGAATTACTAATCATTGAGTCCAACCATTAACCTGACACTGCCAAGTACAAACACTGTAGCTCTTAGGAAGAAAATTAACTCTCTCCCAGCTGAAACCAGGACGCGTTGCTGCCCTGCAAACCCTGTGCTATATTTCTTGTCTCTCAGGAAACTGGGCGATGGGCTGTTCCTGCAGTGCTGTGAAGAAGTGGCAGAGCTCTACCCCAAGATCAAGTTTGACACCATGATCATCGACAACTGCTGCATGCAGGTGAGGATCCCGCTCCCCTGCCCCAGAGCCACAGAGAATTACTAATCATTGAGTCCAACCATTAACCTGACACTGCCAAGTACACAACTAAATCGTGTCCCTGAGTGCCACATCTACATGTCTTAAATACCTCTGGGGATGGTGGCTTAACCACTTCCCTGGGCAGCCTGTTCCAAGGGTTGACAACCCTTTCGGTGATGCAGTTTTTCCTAATATCCAGTCTAAACCTCTGCTGGCTTAACTGTATCTTGTATGGGCTTGCAAAACTCTGCCAGGTGACATAGGCCTGTGGCTCCCCAGTGATTTCAGTGGGACTCTGTGTGCTCCAAGCTGTCACTTGAGCACAGTTTGGGGATGTTGTCTTGTTACATGGCAAGGAGCAGCATGCATATGTACTCATGTGAATAGATACGTGTGATCAGTGCTTATAAATACTTAAAGGGTGGGTGTCAAGAGGATGGGGCCAATCTTTTTTCAGTGGTGCCCAGGGATAGGACTAGAGGAAATGGGCACAAACTTGAACATAAGAAGTTCAATCTAAACATGGGGAGGAACTTCTTTACTTTGAGGGTCTGGAATTCCAGAGCCCTGGAATAGGCTGCCCAGGAATGGTGGAGTCTTCTTTCTCTGGAGACATTCAAAATCTGCCTGGACAAGTTCCTGTGCAACCTGCTCTAGGTAGACCCACTCTGGTGGGGGGTGTTGGACTAGATGATCTCCAGAGGTCCCTTCCAACCCCATGTGATTCTGTGTGTTCTGTGTATGTTTTCAAACACAGTGGGTTCTGCTGCTCCACCAGATTGGTGTAGCCCTGTCCTGGGGGCTGTAGAGCCACCTGCAGCCCTTGTTCGACTGTGCAGGACCTCACATCTTCCTGTTCCCTCCATGCAGCTGGTGCAGAACCCCTACCAGTTTGACGTCCTGGTCATGCCAAACCTCTATGGGAACATCATCGATAACCTGGCAGCTGGATTGGTGGGGGGTGCTGGCGTGGTTCCTGGGGAGAGCTACAGCGCCGAGTACGCCGTGTTCGAGATGGTGAGGAGTCTCAGCTCCCCGGGGCCTCCTGTGCTGTACCAGCCCCCCGGGTTATCGGGGGAGAGGGGGTGGCTTCTGGGGACAAGGGGGTGTGGAAGATGGTCCATCACCGTGGCTTCTCCTCCCGCAGGGCGCCCGCCACCCCTTCGCCCAGGCGGTGGGCAGGAACATCGCCAATCCCACCGCCATGCTGCTCTCGGCTGCCAACATGCTGCGACACCTCAAGTAGGTGCCTTTCCCTGGGGGAGGGGGTGTGTGCGGTGGGGTGGGCAGCGGGGGCTGGCGCAGGGACTGACCGGCGGCTCCTTCCCTCTCTCCAGCTTGGAATATCACTCCAATTTGATCGCGGATGCGGTGAAGAAGGTGATCAAAGGCGGAAAAGTGAGTGTTGGGCGGCCGGCCCTGCCGCGTGTCCGTAGCCGTGTGTGTGATGGTGGTAGCGAGCTGCTGTGTGTTCTCCATGAGGGACAAACGCCACCCTCCCACCTCCTCGCCTCTCTGCGCCTCAGAACCCCCTGTGTGTGCAGCTGTGGCTGTACTCGGCCCCTCTGTGCTTGTCTCGGGGATTGCTCCTGCTGCCCGTAGGGGTGCTTGCTGGCTAGGGAAGCTCTGGGGGACATCAGATGGCCACTTTTTCGCGTGCTGCCCCTCAGGGGTCTCTGTCAGGGTGCGTAGAGGGAAGAAGCTGCTCTCCTCTCCCTTCCCCCAAGTCGTTTCACTCGGTTTCACGATCACGTTTCTCCCTTGTTTCTCCCCTTCCCTGTGTTGGATTTTTAGGTTCGGACACGGGACTTGGGCGGTTACTCCACCACTTCTGACTTCGTGAAGTCTGTGATTGACAACCTGCACCCCCACTATGGTGCCTAGGAACCCCGCTGGCCCCGGGGACTTCACTGCACCCTGCAGCAGCTTCCCTCCCGTAGCTTACAGCCCAGCAGCGCCTCCTTCCCCCTCCCCACCTGGCACAGCGCGCCCTGGCCGAGGTCCCCTGGTGCCCTGGCAGGGGGAGGAAGAGGAGGAGGAAGGCAGCTCTCCTCCTGCCCAGCCCAGAGCCCAGTAACCACCCCCAGTCACCCCAGTGGGGATTGCTGGAGGGAGGGAGGGAGGGCAGTGCCCCATTGGGAGTGAGGATCCCCAGGCTCCCTTCGGTTCATGTAGGCAGTGCCTCCGCTGTGCCCTCTGGGTGAGGAGGGCAGTGCGGATCTTGGGGCCCACTGGGGCGACTCGGGGGTGAAGGGGCAGTGCCCCAAACTCAGCAGGCAGCTTCCTGGGACAGTGGGACCACGGTTGTTGTAAGAACCTTCTCCTGCCCACAGGGATTTTAGCAATAAATGGGACCACAGGGCAGATGCCCTGCATCCAGGCATGCACACGAGCAAACTGCTCACCCAGAGTGAGGCCCCCCCGGGCTGGGACAGTCCCGGCTGTGAGGCTTTGTCACCTCCTGGAGATTCACCCCAGGACCTTCCAAACTGCTGCGCTCCTCTGGGCCAGCACCCGGAGCTCTTTGCCCAGCAGTGCAAGCCCGTGGAGCCCGTGTGGCTCCCTAGGGAAGCCCATGGAGCTGGGGAGCAGCAGCCATGCCAAAGCCTTTGGTGGGACCATAGAAGCTCTGCCCTGGCAGGTGGCAGCTGGGGCAGGGTGCTGTGTGCGTGAGCGAGCGACTGGGGTGTGCATTTAATGCTGTGCTTTGTATTTGTCTTTGCAAATAAAGGGTCCAACGCTTCCCTCCACCCCTGCCCAGTCCAGGTGCTGTTCCCCACCTGGCTCTGCCCCTGCCTGGCCCAAGTCCTGGGGGATGCCAGGGCAGCTTGTGAGGCCAAGGGCACTTGGCTGGGCCAGAAGCTGGGCTGCCAGCAAGCGGTGGGAGCAGGGCTTCAGCTCTGGTCCCACACCACCAGTGCCAGCCATCCATCCACACCATCCCATCCAGCCTACTGGGGTCTGTGAGCCCAGGGAACGCCTCTCCCTGGGGAGGAGCAGCCATGAAACCCTCTGCTGGTTCAATCCCTGTCTCCTCCACCTCTTCAAACCACTGGCAGAGGGTCTGTGCCACCTCCTGCAGCAGGAGCTCGCTATAACACCCCCCCCGGAGGGGGCTGAGGTTGCACTAGAACCAGAAGCAAGAGGCCCAGCACCCGTGTGCACCCACAGGCACACCCCAACACACACACAGATGGGGTGCACCAGTTTGGGGAGGGGGGGACGATGTCCCTCTCAGCTGGTGCGGGGCAGGGTGTGCTTTGTCAGGCTGTCCCTATTGCCCCTCCACACTGAGGCACAGGGACACCTTGGGGACCCTCCCAAGAGGGGCTGCAAAGGGCCTCGGGGGGCCCGTTCCTGCAGTGACAGCACCCAGCAAGTACCCAGGGGGTCCCTGCTGTGCTGTGGGGGCCCCCTCCCTCCTGGCTAACGCTCCCCTCTCCTTGCAGGTGCGCACGGCGGACATGGGGGGCTACGCCACGTCCCTGGATTTCACCCAAGCCGTGATAGGTGCCTTGGATGTCTAGGGCCACTCGCCTCCTCCTCCCTGCTCCTGCCGTGCCTGCCCGGTAACTTATTGCTTCCCTCTAATAAACGTGGCCTCTGCAGCATGATGGGGCGTCCTCCAACACACCTGGCGCCATCGTGTCCCCCTCACCCAGCTGAACCAGGGAAGGTGGTGTCCCCTGTGCCAGGAGAGCGGGGACAGTGTGGTCACCTGCCACCTGGGTAAGGGGAGGCTAAGCGAGGCCACCGCCTGTGCCCTTCCAGCTGCAGCAAAACAAGATGGAAGAGGATCAACAACCACCTCAGCCCTTTATTGAGGTCCAGTCACACCGAGCAGTGTCCTGCCCCACGCAGGCGGTGGACACAGCCCTGTAACAGACGCTACATACAGCCCCCCACGGGAAGGGGGGCTCCGGGAGGCGGTGCTGTGTAAGGCACAGCCAGGCTCCAGCACTGCCCCAGGGGCTGCTGCCACCCCAGCCTGGCTGAAGGGACCCACCCAGACCCCCAGATGACAAACCGTGTTCCATGTGGCCGCCCCACGGCGTTGCACGGCCGGGCATGCAGCTGCCATGAAATGCCAGTGGCCAGGAGAGGGGCCACACACAAACCCATGCTGGGCTAACCTCCTACCAGTCCATGAGTCCTTACTGCTGGAGCACGGCTGGGCTCCAGCCTCACCCTGCTCCCCTAGTCCTCCTCCGAGTCCCTGGCCTTCTCCTTCTTCTTCTTCTTTTTCTTCTTCTTCTCCTCCTCCTGGTCAGCCTCCGCCATGAGTTTCCTTTTTTTCTTGGGCAAAACCTCTTCCTCCAGCCCGTTCTCCTCTGGCTCCGAGGCAACCTCCACCTCCTCCTCAGATTCAACCTCCTGCTGCTGCTTCTTCTTCTTTTTCTTCTTCGGCTCAATGTTGTTCTCCTGAGGGGAAACCTGGGTCAGTGGGAGCTGTTCCCAACCTGGGGAGCTGGGAGCTTGCCCCACATTCTGCCTCCCTCACCCCTGTGGGTACCATCCCACAAATCCCACTCAGCTGCATGACAGCCAGGTGAGGAAAAACCAGGACCCATTGCTCCACCAGCCCAGCAACAAGACAGGGCTGGGCCCATCACAGCCCCCTCACTGGAGGACACCCACCCCACAGCCCCCTGCCTTCACCTCTGTCTCCAGCACGGAGTTCTCCTCCGCAGTCGCAGCCAGGGCCTCCAACCGTTGCTTCTCCCGCATTTTCTCTTTCTCCCGCTTTTTCCTCTTCTTCTCCTTTTTCTCCTGCTTCCTCTTGACCTCAGCCACCACCTCGCTCGCCTGCCAGAGGAGAAGGAGCTCGTCAGCACAGGAGAGGTTCCCAGCCCAGGCCCCGTCCCAGCAGCCCCTGTCGGATCAGCCTCATTAAATCAGTCTTTTTCCCTCCACGAAGGGTCAGGATGGCAGGTTGACATCACCTCCGACAGCGGGGCCCTGCCAGCCTCCGCGCAGCCTCACCTCCACCACAGCCTCCTTCATCACCTCCAGGTTCTTGCGGGGCGGCTCCCCCGTCTCGTAGAAGGCCAAGCGCTCCTCCACCTGCTCCCGCAGCTTGTCCCCAAAGACACTGGTGGGGACCTCTGCGGGGACAAAGAGAGAGGGGGCTCAGCACGCCCTGCCCTGCCCACCCCACGGCCTCCTCCCCCCAGCCCCGGCTCTGCTCAGACCACAGGAGTCACCATTCACAGAGTGAAATGCTGTTGACGAAAAATATTCCCATCACCGCAGAGGCTGCCCAGGTCCCCGTCCCCATCCCCGTCCCGTCCCCGCGGGCACCTGAGAAGCAGTCGATGCGGGAGGCGATGGTGCACTTGTTGGCCAGGTACCGGGAGATGCGGCCCTTGTTCTTGGCGGCCGCTCGCCCGATGAAGGTGGAGTGGAAGATCAGCCCGTACTTGGGGGTGTTCCCTCGTGTTTTCAGAGCCCTGGAAGCAGCCGGTGGAGCTGTGAGGGGCAGTGTGGGGACACGCGGGGCCGAGGACACCCCCCTGGATCGGTGACCCCCACCAGCCACCCTCCTCCACCAGAACCATCCACCCACGGGCAGCAGGGAACGACCCATGGGACAGACGCCTTCCCCCCACACCCCGCTAACCTCTGGGGTTGCCCCACCATCAGGCACCCGCAAGACACAAAGCCACGGTGGTCGCTCAGACACTGGGGCTGGCTGGTCACACGCAGCCGAGGCAGCAGGGGCCCGGCGCGTCGCGGCCAGTGGCCCAGGGACCTGCCATCACCGCAACCACCCCGCAGCGGTACCTGAAGAGGGCTTTCTCGGCCCCCAGGATCTGCACCGTCGAGGCCGGGTACTTGGCCAGGTTCGTCAGGCTGCCGGCGTGAGAGATGAGGCGGGCGCCCACCTGGGAGGAAGAGGATGGGGGTTACAGCTGCCCCCCACCTTGGGAGCCCAGCCCCAGGGCCGCACGCAGCCCCCCCTGGCCAGGGATCAGCAGTGAGAGGTGTCAGCAGGACAGCTCAGTGGATTGACAGATTCACTCAGACATCATTTCCACGGCCTGGGGTGTGCACGGACACACAGACACACACACTGGCACTCACCACCTCCCCGATGAGGGCCGAGAGGCTGGGAGCCACCTGGCTCATCTTGGAGCGCAGATATTCCTGCAGGCCCTTGCGGTACTCGGACAAGGAGATGACACGGCTGGAGAAGCTCTCAATGTTGATGAGATCGAGGGGGGAGATGTCCATCCCTGAAAAGACAAGTATCAGGGGGGTGAGCGGCACCTCCCAGGGCAGACAGGACCCCTTCCTGCTGCAGCTCACTCCCTGGGGAGCACAGTGCTCTGGTGGAGCCACCACCCCCTGTCCCTACTCACCCATGGAGGAGCGGGAGGCCTCCAGGATGGCCTGTGCCTTGGCGCTGTCCATGACGATCTCCTCCAGCCCCTCCAGGCTCTCCTCACTCAGCTCCTTGCGGTTCCCGATGAACTTGGCCAGCCGGCAGTAGGTGTAGTTCTCCGAGACGATCTTGATCAGCTCGGGGAAGTGGTACCCGTACCACTCCCTGCGGGGACAGCGTCAGTGCCATAGCCCCACCCCCTGCATGTCCCTTGCCCCACGTGTGTGTCCCCCCCGGGCACGCTCCAGCCACGGCACCGTTGCCCGTGCCGGGGTGTGCTGGAGGCGCTGCTGTCCCTCCCCGTTCTGTACAGGCAGCTGGAGCAGCGGCAGCCTGCGGTAAGCGTGGGGAGGAGGCCCGTCCTGCCCTCCTGCCCCGTGGTAGGGGGGGACACCCCACTCACCGCACGCGCATGGAGAAGGTGTTGATGTCCTTGTCCAGCTGGTCCAGGAGACTGATGGACTGGATGATCATGTTGTCCACCCGGTTGACGTTGAACTTCACCTTGGCCCGGGAGTAGCTGTGGCCGAGGCCCAGCTGGGCTTTGGAGGCCGACTGGGCGGTGAGACCCTTCACCAGCGCGTGGAAGTGCAGGCGGATCCCTGCGTGGGGACATGGCCGTCACCACCCGGGGATGCAGCAAGGGGTGTCCCCCAACCCCACGCCAGCAGGGACCCCAGCGGGATGAGGCGTGTCCCCGCTCTGTCCCCTACCCCGCAGCCGGACTCACCCCGCAGGATCTCGGCCACCACCCCCCCGGTCTGGCACTGGTAGCCCAGCTCCTCCAGGATGGCCGCCCCAATCTTGGCGTCGGCGACTCCCAGCAGCGCCTTCTTCTTCTTGGCCGGCATGGAGGTCTCCAGCAGAAGCCGCAGGTCCTCATGGAGGATCCCTGCAGGGGGGGGGGAGAGAGGGATCAGTGGGGCTAGGCCGATCCCCGCGGGGGGGTTCCCCGGTGCCCCCCACCCCGCTCACCCTCGGAGACGGCGTTGATGTTCTCCAGGGCGCTCTGCGCCGACTTGAATGGGGCGAAGGCCACCAGCTTCACCACGTTGTGGAACTTGCCGATGGTGAGGACGCTCTCCTCCACCTGCTCCGGGGGAACAGGGCGGCCACCGGAGCACACGGCGGGAACGGGGCCGCCCCCAGAGAAGGCTCCCCCGGACGGCGGGCAGGTCGGCAGCACCAGAGAAGGCGCGCCCCCGCCACCGGACGCACCACCGAAAAGCCCCCCCTGTCCACCACCCCCCCTCCTGCTAC